TACTAGGAGCAAAGGGCATCGCTACTAGGAGCAAGGACGCTACTAGGAGCAACATCCCTGAACCCCGGTCGTTCTTCTCCCGCGCGGCGACGAGTTGATCGGAGTGGATGGAAGCTCCAGCGTCGTCCTTGCGCAAAAGGGAGACGCTCTGAGGCGAGCAACCCGGTAGCCCGGTAGCCCGGCCTGGTGGGTTCTATATGACCGAAGGCACCCGGAGGAAAGGGGGGGTTGGAAGTTGGAAGGATGATTGTTCTCAAATCAAATCAATTTTGGAGATATTCCAAGGCAACACAAGATGGAACCACTAGAAAACTGACTAAACTGGATTTTGGGGAACCTAATGCCATGGCAATATTGTACAGAAGTGGATCCGGTGCAAAATCGCCAGCTAGTTTGACCGGTTTCCTCCCCAAACCGGGTGAGTTCAGCGGTGGTCCATGTGGTCATCTGCACGGGGTTCAGGCCTTAATCACGATCCAGGCTATCTTAGGCTCAATGTTCATTGTTGTTCTCAAGAGCTTTGTGGCAAAACACTACTCCACTCTTACTTGGCCAAAACTCCACTCTTACCAGGCCCATCGTTGACACTCTCCAGCCTCGTCCACTCCCCAGATGCCATGACGGACTTGGGAACAGGCGAGTCTGTCCTAGGCATAGCAAGGACCCTCCCACTTGTGTGTCTTGCTTCAAAAGGAATGAGCAGACATGCAAACAACTGGCCCCGACTCGTGCCGCCATGAGCTGATGTAAGTTTTTGCTTTGCAAAACTTAAGATATCGTTGACACATCGATCTATGGGTACAACTATACAAATATCGACTCTGAAACCCAAAGCCCAAAGATTTGAATTTGGTACACCTTCGAGTCAATCAGAACATAAATGCCCTCCAAGTCACCCGTCTCAATTGCCCTCTCTCTCTTCTCTCTGTGCGTGTCTTTTTGGAAAACACTTATCGTTTTGAGATACCACAGAGTTGTAAAGCCTTCAAATTATGTTCTTGTTACTTAAGTCTTAAGTGCTGCGGTGGCTTGACCAGGTCTCCTTGTGCCAATAGAAAGGATGCTCATGCCCCAAACAAGCAACCAATTCAAGCTTGCTTGATGAGATGTGTGTGGCATAATGAATATTCTGAATATTCATATATATATAATATATATATATACTTAACATGTTCGAGGGCCAAAACCTTGGGAAACTGGTTTGTTGACCCGCCATGCTGTGACACTCTACGAGGGATATCAACCCACACAGTTGACTTGTGACACAGCCTCAAAAAGGCCACGGTGTCCACAGGTGGAGGAACTCATCCACTTCGCCCTATCTTCAAGTTGTCTTCACAGGCGAAGAATCCAAACATGTCTTGACAAACCGCGCATGTCATGTTTGGGTGCAAACATGTGGAACTTCTCCAACTGTGGTGCTGCCAAGGCGAAGGACCAGAAGAGTGTCAAAACCCAAGTCAGAATTGGAATGTCAAAGGGAAATGTGCTTGTGGCCGAAAACAACAAACATCAACAAACCAAGGCTAACACTTGTGATCAACATAATCCCTTAGTCTTGGATGGCTCTCTCCACGACTCACTTTCCTCAAGTCAAGGACATGCCTTGTTTTGCATGTCCATTCTCACGCTCCTGAAACGCGACCCGACGCGTTTTGCGGCCGAGGGTCCCGCCAGGCGGCGGCCTTAAGAGCAAATTCCGGCAGAGTGCAAAGTTGAAAAATACTTCCCTGGGGGGTATCGGCCGCAAGTACTTAAGTATCTAGTTGTAAGAGGTAGCTACATGTAGCTGTAGCTACTATATTAAGTAGCTAGTAGCTAGGATGCGTGAAAGCTCAAGCTTCTTCAAGGAAGCTCCCCCGCCTGAGACTGCGGGGGAGCTTCCTTGAAGAAGCCCTGGCACTATTCATTTGGTTCTTGAATCCTTGCAGGAACATCTCCTATGGTTGGAAGTTGAGACCTTCGGCGTATGCGTATGGTACAGGATAACGAGCAAAACCAACCACATCGAGCTTTGGAGCATCCAGCATATCTCTGCCCCACTTTTCGGAGGTGCTTCCACAAGGTCTGTGTGCATGTCTTTTTTGACTTGTGGCGTCGCCTGTCTGCCACACCCGAAACTCTTTGACGTGGCTTGAGGGTCAACCCGCGCACCATTTTGCACCTGAAGTGCGCAACACCCTTTGCTTGCCATTGTTTGGGTATTTTCCAGTGAGGTGGCACCTGACATCATCATACCCACGACGTCACATGCTCATCAAAAAACACAACGTCATGCCATCCACGTCACAAAGATAGGCCATCCACTGTGATCGATTCCAAGGGTAGTAACAAGTGCCACGCTACTAGGAGCAAGGACGCTACTAGGGGCTCCTGGCCTTACTAGTAGTAACAAGAACGCTACTAGGAACAAGTGCCTTACTAGTACTAACAAGGACGCTAGTAGAAACAAGTGCCACGCTACTAGTAACAGGTGCCTTACTAGTAGTAACAAAAACACTACTAGGAACAAGTGCCTTACTAGTAGTAACAAGAAGCTATTAGGAACAGGTGCCATCCTAGTAGTAACAAGAAGCTGTTAGGAACAGGTGCCTTACTAGTAGTAACAAGAAGCTATTAGGAACAGGTGCCTTACTAGAGGTAACAAGAAGCTATTAGGAACAGGTGCCTTACTAGTAGTAACAAGAAGCTATTAGGAACAGGTGCCTTACTAGAGGTAACAAGAAGCTATTAGGAACAGGTGCCTTACTAGTAGTAACGTTTAAACCGCGCAAGGATTCAGACCCGCGGGGCGCTCCGTTCGCTCGACGGTCGGTGCTCGAAACCAAGCGTCTCTTTGTCGGTGTTCGAGCTGTGGCTGTCCGAGGTCCTGAGGGAGAGGCTGGACTGTGACACTGAGGTGACTCTGATCCCCTAGATCCTGCCTGCCTGGGATCCACCTCCAGCTATGATCATAGGTGGCTGGAGGTGAGGATTGATGATATTTTATGATCCTTATACTGTTATATCAGACTCCAGTTGACAGTGATGCTGCGAAACCATTTGATCAAGTATGTTTTGGTTTACTGTTTGTCGTATTGTTATACAACACTGCAAAACCCAAAAACGTAAAACCATGCATTCAATGCACTTAGCTGGAAACTGATCGTTTCTGGTCTCAACCACAACTCCTTCTACAAGAATCTTCATACTTGTCATACACTTGTCTTGGACATTTTTGGACTATCTGATTGTCTGTCAATTGGCAGTCACTGGTCACTGGTCACTTCCTGTGGTACAAAAATTATACCACATATGTTGCGTGCAGCCGGGCCAGCTGGGCCCGACATCTCGAAACCCAACCCCCGTGAGTCGGAGAAGGTCGAATAGCGCCGCATAAGAATGCAAAAAAAACATCCTTGGCAAAATCAACACGAGTATGGCACTACTACTGTAGAAAAAAACAATTGGGCCTTACCGCACTGACTCATAGGCACTGCCATGATGCCCACAAAAAGGGCCTGGAGGGTAAGTCGTTATAGGAACACACAACATGTGCTTCATAGGAACGAACACATATGGTTTTGTGGAACTAATACCTCTTGACAATGGAACTCTGACAGTCTTATCCACTCAGAGTTGGAACTATTTGAACCAAACACCAAACAGTTGCACCAACTTGCAAAACAAACCTGCCGGGTCGGAAACTGAACGTGTCGTTGTGTGCATTTCTCAACATAATAAGTTACAACTACAAAACACTTGAGAAACCCGCGTGTTTCGTGTGAATGGGCGCGATAAATGCACACCCCCTGACTGTGTTCCTTTATATATTGTTGCGTGGGAGGGTTGGCATGTTTTTGTTATATATTATGGTCTCGCTTCGCGTGTCGTCTTTTCCGGAAGATGTAGAAAAAAACAAGATGGAACCCACGAACCCGAATGCAAGCACGATCGAAAAACTACATATGTTCAAATGACACTCTTGTAGGACACTCTTGTGGGACACTCTTCTGGGACACTCTTGTGGGACACTCTTGTGGGACACTCTTGTAGGAAAATCTTGTGGGTCACTCTTGTAGGACACTCTTGTGGAGCACTCTTACACTCTTGTGGGACACTCTTGTGGGACACTCTTGTAGGACACTCTTGTGGGACACTCTCGTAGGACACTCTTGTGGGTCACTCTTGTAGGAAGCTCTTGCGGGGCACTGTTTTGGGACACTCTTGTAGGACACTCTTGCGGGACACTCTTGTAGGACACTCTTGTGGGACACCCTTGTAGGACACTCTTGTGAGTCACTCTTACGGGGCACTTCTGTAGGACACTCTTGTGGGACACTCTTAAAGGACACTCTTGCGGGTCACTCTTATGGGACACTCTCTTGTGAGACACTCTTATAGGACACTCTTGTGGGTCACTCTTACACGACACTCTTGTAGGACACTCCTTGTGGGACACTCTTGTAGGACACTCTTGTAGGACACTCTTGTGGGACACTCTTATAGGACACTCTTGCGGGTCACTCTTATGGGACACTCTTGTCGAAAACTCTTGTGGAACACTCTTGTGAGACACTCTTGTAGGACCTGGGACACTCTTGTGGGACACTCTCGCGGGCCACTCTTGTAGGACACTCTTGTAGGACACTCTTGCGGGACACACTTGTGGGACACTCTTGTGGGACACTCTTGTAGGAAACTCTTGTGGGACACTCTTGTAGGACACTCTTGGGACACTCTTGGGGGACACTCTTGTAGGACACTCTTGTGGGACACTCTGCTGGGACCCTCTTGTGGGACACTCTTGTAGGAAACTCTTGTGTGTCACTCTTGTAGGACACTCTTGTGG